TAGTTTTAAAGGAGAAAAAAAATAAAAAAATCGAGCATGCTCGGCTCTGCCCGTAAAAGTCCGAGCCAAAAGCTCGGGTCAAGCGAAAATTTTTTGGCCGAGCTTTTGGCTCGAGCTTGTAAAAAAGCTCAACCATTTTAATCAAACCGAGCTCGAGCCTAAAATTTTAGGTTCGACTCGACTCAACTCGTTGATATCCCTGGGGGGTGATTAGAAATTTTAGGGGGCAAACTTGACATTTTAGGACTCTACTTGGTCGAGATTAATCTTGCCTAAACACCTTTGATTTTCTATTGTCCAATTTCCTTTTCACCTTACTGATGCAATTAAGTCTCATTATATAATACTTCCTCTTCTCCGAGTTCTTACTATTCATCTTTGTTCTTCCTCCTAACCCGTTCTCTTAGCTCTCACTTCCTCTCGGTGCATCTTTTCAGGCATGTAGGTTGATTGACCTACCTCTATACAAATGGAAACACAATCTCCCTCTCCCCTTTTTTTTTTTTTTTTTTTTTTTTTTTTTTCTCATTGTAGTCCTTATCCGCTAAGTTAGGTCTTGTTTTCCCATCTAGCATCGAAACAATATTAAAATTTGAAGGTTTCATTTTATAATTTATTTAGCTATTTATACTAGACACGATGGTGAGAGTGGTTTACTAAACATGGATCTTCTTAGTCAAGCACGTTACGTCAATTTAGAAATAATAAAAAGATTTGTTTTATGTAATCAAGAAATATTGAAAGGGATGGGCCCAAAATTGCACTCAACATTACGGATAAACATGAAAGATTTTTCGTTGCGTCCAAAAACTCCTAGTCACAATATGTTTTAGCTTTTTTTTTTTTTTTTTTTTTTTTTTTTTTTTTTTTTTTTTTTTGTTGGAAGTTACGATACATTTATTATGAAGAAATTTTCAGGTGTGGCAATTTTTAGCTGTTTATTCTACTGGATAAGTGAGGTTAAATTAATTATGAAGAAATTCTTAAAAATTTCTGTTTAATGGTATCTCGTCTATCATATAATTGATCACTTAGCTGACCAAATCTAAGGCCTCCAATAATTAGAATCAACTTGTAAACACATTTTTAGCTTTTAACATCTCAAGCAGGAAATAAAATTATTTTCCTTGTAACCCACTACATTTTACTATGTCCCACTTTCCTCTTTTTCTTGTCTAATAATACAAAATCATGGCCCAGTTAAGCAGTAAAATTTTTGGTAATCATAATTAACAAAATAATTGCAATGAACAAGTCAACTCAGGCATATATTCAATGCTTTCTTGCTATAAAAATGGCTTATTTTCAACAGAATTGCTTAAGCTTAATTTCCATGGAAGAAGACTATTTTTTCATGCTTTCATTTCTTGTCTTGCCTTTTCTGTATTTGATTTACAAGATTTTCAATTCATACAATCCACCACTTCCTCCAGGGCCAATTCCATGGCCAGTTTTAGGCAACTTATATTACATAAAAACAATGGATCATGTCAGATTAGCCAATCTTGCGACAAAGCACGGCCCCTTGATGTTGCTTAGAGAAGGACTGCAGTATCTGGTTATTGGATCATCATCAACTGCTGCTATAGAAATCCTCAAGACGAAGGATCGAGTATTTTCTGCGCGAGCGGTTCCGAATGCTGTGCCGTTGACGAGGTCAGAGATCGACCAGTTATCGGTCTGGGCAGACGCTTCATGCGAGAACTTTAAAAATATACGAACAATGTGTCGAGCCGAGCTTTTTTCAAGTAAAGCATTGGAGTCGCAAGAAGTTTTGAGGGATAAGAAAATAATGGAGATGGTGGAGTTTTTTAGGGCAAAGGATGGTTTGGTGGTGAATTTTGATAAATGTGTTTATGCAACTGTTGTTAACATGTTCACTAATGCTTTCTTTTCAAGAGATTTGGTTAGGCTGGAGGAAGAGGGTTCGGATAATCCTGTGAAAGGTCTTCTAAGAGGGATTATTGGAGCAATCGGAGCTCCAAATTTGTCGGATGCCTATCCATTTTTGAGCAAGTTGGATCTTCAAGGTATGAGAAAGAAACATAGAGAGCTGTCGATGAGGGTTCATGCCCTGTGGGAGCCTATTGTTAAAGAAAGGAGGAAAAGGAGACGGGGCGGTTTGAGCCATCAAGATTTCTTGGATACGCTTCTCAACAATGGTTTCACCGATTATCAAATCCACAAATTACTCGAGGTTCATTCTTTCACCTTCCCCCCAAACCCCTTCCAGGTCCCTAGTTGAACAGCCTATAACCATGACATCAGAGTAGGCAAAGGTGTTTGAGTTCAAATCTCATTCTTACTTATTTATGAAAATTGTATAAGGTTTTTTCATTATGCACAAGGAGAAGCGTGTTGAAAGCCTCACTGTAACAGTTTAAACTTTCCAAGAGAGATCATTCAATACACCTACCACACCAAACCCCCACAAAATCCAAAAGCAAAACAAAGCTTCATTATTCGTAAAGCCTCATTTTTTTCATCTTATTGGCTTGTAGTTCATTCTTCTTATTTCAATGTGACAGGAGTTGGTTACAGCTGGCATAGATACTACTACCTCGACAATCAACAGGACAATTGTAGAACTTATAAACAATCCAGAGTCCATGAAGAAACTTCAAGAAGAGCTGGATACAGAATTCAATCAAGATTTGCTAAAAACGTCGAATTTAGCACAGTTACCTTATCTTCAAGCCTGTGTTAAAGAAACCTTGAGGTTGCACCCTCCTGCACCACTGATGCTTTCTCATCGAGCACTTGAAACCTGTCAAGTGATGAATTACACCGTTCCTAAAAATGCTCGAGTACTCGTAAATGTTTGGGCAATCGGACGAGATCCATCTACATGGGACATGCCATCAGAATATAGGCCAAACAGATTTCTCAACTCAGCTTTGGATTTTAAAGGGAATGATTTCGAGTTCTTACCTTTTGGTGCAGGAAGGAGAATCTGCCCGGGTCTACCCATGGCTACCAAAATTGTTCCAGCAGTTATTGCTTCGTTGGTTTATTTTCTCAACTGGTCTCTTCCACAGGGAAATGATCCTGCCATATACGAGAAGCTTCGAGCAACTTCGGATCTGATAGAACCTCTGCTCCTTATCCCCAAATCTAGAAAATGATGATAATTTGTATGGCTAAGTTCTCTGTAATATTCAACATGAAGAAGGCATTTAATCATAAGTATCCTATCATTAAATCCATGAGAGACCATTCCCTAAAAGGCTACTTGTAAAAAAATTATTGTATTAAAGCATGATCATTGTCGAAACTTTTACATACACCGCATGTAAAATGCAGATAAGACAATGAAAATCATGATTATTTATGAATATTCTTCTGACCTGACTGGATACTAATAATCAAAGCAAAAAGACATATATGATTGAATAACAGATAAAACAATGAACTCCAGATTACATAAATGATCACAATATAGTTTGAAACTCCTAGCCAACAACAAATCTTATCTGCACAATAGGCAAGGAGCTTGAGGAGGGAATGGGATAAAGGGGAGGAGCCATGTGGAGAAACAAGCTCTCCCAGTCTAGCTAGACGATGGTTGACGGTAACAATATTTTTTGAGCCAATCTCTTTAATAAAAGCCTTAAGTAAGCTCTTCAGCTCAATATCATCGTACTCTGTGGGGTTATTTTCTCCATTATGCTCAGCTACAGTAACCTCGGCATTTTCACTTGAATTAGGTAGCCTAGAAACGGAATGAATTGGAAGTGAACGATGCACTAATTAATAAGAGACTCTCTCTTGACCTGACTTTCCCTGTTGGCGCTGACAAGACATTTTCGTGCAAATATAGGCCGGCCGTACTTGTGATGGTTCCCAAGGATCCAACATGACCACATTCTTGAAAAAGAGCAGGAAGCGGAACTAGACATTCTCAATGATTCCATTGCTAAAAAAAAAAAAAAATGGTTTTCTGTCTACAAGCTCTTCCGATTCCCCTACTTGACCTGATTCAATCCCTTAAAATGGACAAGAGGAATTCCTCGCCGAATGGAATGTAGCAACTAACTACTAGCTTCTCCATCCAACACCATGTTCAATGAAGGAACAAGCCTGCAAAATGCTTCACCAAGTAAAAGATGGTTTCCTCCTGCTTCTAGAAAAGAGCAAGAACAACTGAAATACGGTGAAAGGCATATATTTGACCGGTCCTCTTTCATCAAATACCAGCTCATCCAAGTTATGCCCCGGAGAACGCGATGATCATAGAAAAGGCAATATTTTCTCATGCATTTTCAACAACACGTTCACGAA